CCAGCCTTCTGGTTCGCAGTCAAGTGCTTTAGCCACTATGCTACCAGAGCTCCTTCCGTAAAGATTACGGCCTTGGAAACCCAGTAGAGTAGCTATAAATCGGACTACAGCGCAGTGGGACAGAGCACACTGCATAACAACATGACATAGGGTAGAAAGTGGTTTAAGTGTTTAAGGCAAGATCTCCATTCTTCGAAAACTAATTGTCATAACTTTACATTTTACCTTTTCTGAAAGTTAATGCTTGTTATTATTAATTTACAAATAATTAATCGTGGCAATCACAACTCACCTTTTTCGAAGGCAATGGGAAATGCCCTAGAACCTATAGTTTCTCACAGTATTCATGTAATAACATTGTCATTCTGGACCTGTTCTCGTGGAGTTTTTCCACCGTCCTGGGAGCCCTCACTCTCCTCTGAATAAGGTCAGAAATTCTATGTTAAGAGTTGCATTCATTAGTTTAGATTGAAACTCAAAATACCAGATAAAACGTAAATAGCCCTCAGGACTTTTAATGTGAATGAATTTAGGTTATTGATGGTGTGCATATTGAAGGCCTGGGAAAGGAAGACTCTTAAGCCCACACAGCGAACTGAAGACCAGTGCTTACCCTCTGCGTTGGAGAAAGATGGGAAAAAGGAGGCAATTGGCGTTGACTTGGCAGTTAAATCCAGGGTTGGGTCTGAATAGAGCCATGTTTAAACTTCTCAGCTCGACCCGCCTTTTAAACTATTAAACCATGTTTCCCTTCAGAGACTCCATCGAGTTATTTGAGCTCTGATTATAGAAGCCCCAACAAGCCACTTCCTACCTTCCTAAATTCAGGTTCACAACAAAAACAACATACCACATACAGAGTGTTTAAAAAACAAAAGGGGGAAAGGAGTTCTCATACCACATAGTATTCATGTAATATTGTCATTTTGGCATATTCTTTCAGTCTTGATGGCTTGGGTTTTTTATTATTTTTGGTATACATAATACGTTTGTCAATGTATATACAAGTTTGTGTCCTTTTGCTTAGAAGCCTTTTTTTCTGTTGATACACTGTCTTCCTGTTTTAATAAAGATGTATTCATGTGGCTTATCATAACATCCTGATATTATAAATTGCTCTCTTAAATAATTGTTCCAATTTACTGTGTTAGGTGAAATGAATCTATTTTACTATATTTTTGCCAAAATTATATATACCAAAAACCAAATTCACTGCCGTCGAGTCAGACCCAACTCATAGCGACCCCTCCTTGGGTGTCCAAGGCAGTATCACTAAGGAAGTAGATTGCCCAATCTTCTTTCCGAGGAGTGGCTGGTGGATTTGACCTTGCCAGCCTTCTAGTTAGCAGTAAAATGCCTTATGCCACCAATGCTCCCAAAATTATGTGTATACACACACACACACACATATATTTACTCCTTACTTTTCAACTCTCATTTTATCTTACATTTCTCATTTATGACAATAGTAAAATATCTGCTATCTATTTCATGCATTAACAATGCAAGTCTGGCCGTAACAGATACCAAGGTGCAAGGCAAGAGTAATACTGGCTGTGATAGGTAAGGTGATGTGTCAACTTGGCAGGACCATGATTCTCAGTGGTTTGGCAGTTATGTAATGATGTAATCTGGCAGTTATATAATGACGTAGTCATCCTCCATTTCATGATCTGATATGGCCATCTTCCATTTTCACATATCGCTGATTTTTTTGCATAATAATTTGGTCTTTGGCACATAACCATGTGTATAAGTGAGGAGTGGGTATATATATATTTTTGTTTCATTTGCAGATTTAACAAACCAAACCCACTGCCATCAAGTAGGTTCTGACTCATAGAGACGCTTTAGACAGAATAGAACTGCCCCCATAGAGTGGCCAAGGCTATAAATCTTTACAAACGCAGACTTTTTCCCATGGAGCGACTGGTGGGTATGAACCCCAACCTTTTAGTTAGCAGACAAATGTTTTAACCACTATGCCACGAAAGCTCCCCTTAACAGGCAAAAGAGATACTTTATTGTTTAGGCATTTCTCCCAGGCAGCTGAACATTTTTCCATGTTTAGTATTTTAGTTCCTCGTTTGTGAACTAGCTTTGTTCACATCTTGGCTCAGTTAGCCATCGAATGTCTGTTAATGGTTCATAGTGATACATTCTTTATATAATTTAGTTACATTTTTTCCCCATATATCCTTCCATTTTTTTTACTTCTCCCATTTGAGGAGAATTTTTTTTTAATTTGGTTTTCTTTATAGAAGTTACTCATTTTTATATAACCAAATGTCATTCTTTTCTTTTTTAAGCTTTCTGATCTAAGTTTAGAAAATTAACCTCTAGCAATACAGCAGGGAAGAATTCAGTATATTTTCTTCTTTCAACTCATTAATCCATGTAAAATTTACTTTAGCATCTATCATATGTTTTCAGTAGGTTTCTTGCTAAGAATGAAATTAGAAAGCATTAGAATAACAAAAATTTGAAGAAATGGCATATCCTAAATGAGTAACCATAAGTGAAGAATTTCAAGAATAACCAAATCCACTGCCATCAAGAGAGAAGAGCCAGAGGTGGAATGGAGTACATCCTTACATCTGAGATCCATATGCTGGACCTCCTTGGCACAGAGAGCAGCAGAGAGATGGCTGCAGTGGAACTAAGAGGCACGAGACAGAGTAGCAAGCTTGCCAGCCCATGGAATGAGAAAGCCTGCCCTTTGGGCAAGAGGGTTGCTAGCAGAGTGGGATGCACCTAGTTGCACCTATCAGCAGAGTTAAAGAGCTTTCTGGCACTTGCCTGAGCAGGGCAGAGGCCAAGCCAAGAGGCCAAGGGTGAAAGAAAGGTGTGCCTAAGGGCATGGCTGATGGGAAACTGTGTTGATTGAAGAATTGTATTCTGATAGTCTTCCTGAACCTGAAATGTAATAAACCCTATAATCAGTGAGTACTGTCTGTGAATTCTGTGTGGCCATTGCAATGAATTATGGAACCCAGCATATAAGTAGTGAGTGCAATGGGAGGGACAATTGGTGTCAGATTTGGTAAAAAGGTTGGAAGGTGGTAGCATGTCTGGCCTCATAGGAGTAAGCCTTGGTCTGATGTTACTGATGGTGATTCTGTCTCCCTCTCATGAAGTTAGAGGAGGTGGAAAGATGCCACCTCCATGTCCTCTTTCCAGCACCCTGGGTGTTCTGGTTACCTAGTGCCACACTGACAGGAATATACCACAGATGGGATGGCCTTACAAACAGGAGTTTATTCTCTTACAGCTTGGAGGCTTTAAGTCCAAGTTCAAAGTGCCAGGCTCTAGGGGCTGGGTGAAAACCCCTCAATCTTTGGGTCCAGCTCTGTTTCCTATTCCTGGCCCACTGGAGCTAGAGGTGTTTCTTCACTCAGCTGCTGGAGGCTGAGGTTGACAACCCCAAGGTTGACAAGTAAAAAGGCACCACACAGCAGCCCATTAATTTAAGTCCATTGTCAGTCCCAAGGTTGGCAGAGCATGGCAGGCTGCTGAACAATGGCACGGCTATGTGCAGGGTCCAAGTGTGCCATATGCTAGAGACCATTCCCAAGGCTTCTCCTAATATACAGGAAGCAGACTACATCCCAATGGCAGCTACTCAGCTGCTTGTGGTAGATCCCACCATGGAGTTGATTTCCAGTCTCATCATGGGGAATAACTGCCACCAGCTGCTCAGCCACTCAACCAGGCCCAGCCAAGTTGACAGACAAATTTAACTACTGTACTCAGTCATTATGATTTGGCCCAATGGTACTGAGAATGAGTGGCCTGTTGCAAGAGAAAAGGCTAGCTCTAGGCACAAAGGGTCCTAATGCTATGCTAAGGGACCAGGAATATCCAATTTAATATCCAATCACAAAGGAGCTTATTAAATAAATTAGGGAACATTTTCCAAGAGAATTCTATATAGCTATTAAGAGTCAGGCACTTGACTGCTAACTAGGAGGCTGGTAGTTCAAACCCACCAGCCACTCCTCAGAAGGAAGATGGGGCAATCTACTTTCATAGTGATACTGCCTCAGAAACCCAAGGAGGGGTCGCTATGAGTCGGGTCCGACTCGATGGCACATAACAACAACAAATTAAGAATCATATTCTCAATATTTAACAACAGGAAAATGTTCACGATTTGCTAAGTGGGAAAACAAATTATAGGAGAATACATGTTCAGAATCAACTTGATGGAAACTAACAGCATAGGTGATAGGACCTCAAATTTGCTTTCAAAATACATGTATATGGAGACATCTGGCAAGATGGTGGAATATGCAGACAAGCTACCCAGCCCCTCTACAACACAGAAACAAGGAACAACTGAAACAGTAAAGATGATAATTCTGGAACCCTGAGCGTCAAAGGGAAGGATAAAGAAGTGGATTAAAT